TTGGGTGCTAGACACATAGACTGCCCTAGAATCCCCACACAGAGACTAGCATTGGGTGCTGGACACATAGACTGCCCTAGAATCCCCACACAGAGACTAGCATTGGGTGCTGGACACATAGACTGCCCTAGAATCCCCACACAGAGACTAGCATTGGGTGCTAGACACATAGACTGCCCTAGAATCCCCACACAGAGACTAGCATTGGGTGCTAGACACATAGACTGCCCTAGAATCCCCACACAGAGACTAGCATTGGGTGCTAGACACATAGACTGCCCTAGAATCCCCACACAGAGACTAGCATTGGGTGCTGGACACATAGACTGCCCTAGATTCCCCACACAGAGACTAGCATTGGGTGCTAGACACATAGACTGCCCTAGAATCCCCACACAGAGACTAGCATTGGGTGCTAGACACATAGACTGCCCTAGAATCCCCACACAGAGACTAGCATTGGGTGCTGGACACATAGACTGCCCTAGAATCCCCACACAGAGACTAGCATTGGGTGCTAGACACATAGACTGCCCTAGAATCCCCACACAGAGACTAGCATTGGGTGCTAGACACATAGACTGCCCTAGAATCCCCACACAGAGACTAGCATTGGGTGCTAGACACATAGACTGCCCTAGAATCCCCACACAGAGACTAGCATTGGGTGCTAGACACATAGACTGCCCTAGAATCCCCACACAGAGACTAGCATTGGGTGCTGGACACATAGACTGCCCTAGAATCCCCACACAGAGACTAGCATTGGGTGCTAGACACATAGACTGCCCTAGAATCCCCACACACAGACTAGCATTGGGTGCTAGACACATAGACTGCCCTAGAATCCCCACACAGAGACTAGCATTGGGTGCTGGACACATAGACTGCCCTAGATTCCCCACACAGAGACTAGCATTGGGTGCTGGACACATAGACTGCCCTAGAATCCCCACACAGAGACTAGCATTGGGTGCTGGACACATAGACTGCCCTAGAATCCCCACACAGAGACTAGCATTGGGTGCTGGACACATAGACTGCCCTAGATTCCCCACACAGAGACTAGCATTGGGTGCTGGACACATAGACTGCCCTAGACTCCCACACAGAGACTAGCATTGGGTGCTAGACACATAGACTGCCCTAGATTCCCCACACAGAGACTAGCATTGGGTGCTGGACACACACTGAAATTAGGATTCAGGGAACCTTGTCTAGGATTCAATCCAAATATCATAGGTTTCTAGCACACCTAATGGATGCAACTCTGCACAGAAAATTGTAGCACTTTTATTGACAGAGCTGCCTTGACCCTGACTCTACTGATCTGCTGAATATTGGCTTCATTTTATAAAGTACTCCCACTTGCTGGTCATCCAAGGTGTTCTTATAGATGACATTGTTGAAATGAATCTGATCAAAGTACATTACCATGGATGTATAAATTGAAAGTATTTATCCATTGGCCACATCCTTAATTAAATATGTTTCCTCTGAACAAACTTTAGAGCAATAATGCCTCCCCAAAGAGATGTGCAACACACAGATGTAATAAGAAAGATCTTGTTCTTTATTTAAAACATGATTCACAGCCACGCTGTAACACACAATTGGTCTCACAACCTTGTAATCATCAACAGACATACTGGACCAAACAGTGTGTCCACACTATATTACATACATAGAATACATACTCAGTTTCCAATATCATTAACATGGAACCAAGTTGATATTTGAGGAAAAAGAAATTAACAATTATTTTGTCAACAGAATCAGTGTTTCCGTTCTCCGGTATATACCTGAAAATCGCCGGTAAAATTTGGTGGGGACTGGTAAATTGAAAGCCAGACGGACACTGTGTCCGGTAATTAATTATGTATTAAAATTAAAAAAATGATGGGTAAGCGAAATCAGTCTTGGCTGTGCTTTCAAGGTCACAAAAGATTTTATGTTTCGGAAATACCCAGGCTAAAAATAACTTTAAAATGAGTACTTACAGTATGGTAATAGGATATGACCAGCAAATTTCATTCATGACCGGTAAAATTTTAGTTTAGGTTGCCAGACACAGTGTCTGATAAATAATTTAGTCAGCGGAAACACTGAGAATAATTATGTCAGCAACAACAAAATGTGTCAAATGAATAGATAATTAGTAGAACCTACAACTGACAGTCACTGTTTACTTAGGTTGATATGTTCAATAACAGTCACATTGATAACTAAATCAGTAACTACTACAAATCAGACCACTTTATTTTCATGTTTCATGGATTTCATGGAGAATATTCCATGAGGCAAAGCAAATATAAGATGGTGTGAGGTCAATTATGTGTACAAGATGTAAAAAATAAGCAAAGAGTTGTATGAAAAAGCGTAGAGCTATAGATGCTTCTTTGCAAGCAATTAGACGAACCTCTCCATACAACAAGAACATGAATCTGTCTAGCCTTATATAGTACTACAAGAGTCACCTCATAAAAGAACTGGGTGATCCTTAACTTCTTTTGACAATTACATATGAACAAAATACTTGTGTAGTGGAATGTTGTCGTGCATAGATTTATTCACTTCTCTGTGATCTTCTGCTTACAATAATTATACACAGCTACAATATATAAACAGGGTTTTCTTCAGTCCATGCCACGGTTTGCAAAGGTTGAAAACACGTAGTTCTAGTGGTATTAGTTTACATAAGAAAACTTGATGACTGATAGATATAGGCGATTCGAAGTTAAATAGCTTTTTATGTTGCATTTTTATTCACTTACACAGCAACATGCATGCATGTGGCATGTGACTGATGGTATTAGTTCTAATGAATACCTGTGGTTCAGAACTCTCATGCAGAGATCACATGTTTAAGATGCATAACCCACACTGGCTCCAACCTGACGGGGCGGTGGGGTAGCCTAGTGGTTAAAGCGTCCGCTCGTCACACCAAAGACCCGGGTTCGATTCCCCACATGGGTACAATGTGGAAGCCCATTTCTGGTGTCCCCCGCCGTTATGTTGCTGTAATATTGCTAAAAGCGGCGTAAAACTAAACTCACTCACTCACTCCAACCTGACAGGCAGGGTAACAATAAGTACCATCTCTTAACATCTGTTGGTATAGCACAACCTGGGAATTACAGATGTGCTGTTAGGGAAGACCCTCTAACCAATAGACCATGGAGTAAACCAAGACATTTAGAAATGCCTTCTGACTGGAACATTTGAAATGCCAATTTGAAACACAACAGAATGTGGTGATTAAAACAAGTACTGTAATCGTATATATTTTCACGGGGTGCAATTTCGCGTAAAGATCACAAGAGACCTGTTAGCGCAGTTGTTTTTTCGCGCATTTCAACACCTGAGTGATGGTATCCATCACAAAGTTTTCACAACCGATAGACATGCAATGATCAAAGCTAGCCGCCATAATTGAATCGTGTTTACTAAAACAATCAGAGAGAGGTGGGATTATACTTATGTCAACATGACAACACCTGTCCCATATGCGGGATTAACTGACAACGAATTAAGGAAGAGTGTATACAAGTACTTACGATCATTAAACATAGAAATCATAAAGTAGTGTTTGTTGTTTATGAGACATATGTTGTTCAGATGGTCAAATCGTTGACTGGCTGCATTTCATGTCTTTCTTTCAATTCGTGGTGTGTATATAATTCAATTTCAATATCTCACCTTATGCTCCGAATTCTGGAATAAGGATGGCATTACGAATGTGGTTAGTGAAGGCTCCTAAATCTCAGACACTTGACCATGAATATTTCGCTTGGTATGATCATTGATGCACAGTCTTTTTGCACTAAAAGCAAGAAAATTAAGCCCACGTGAAAATAACTACGATTACAGTATATAAAACATACCAAGGTAATGCCTTCATGGATGTACATGTCAACTCTCCACCTGTATCTTGACACACAAAACATGCATGCCAATTAATCATGCATAAAAACAAGAAACAAATACCTATAACAGTCATCAAGCACTGACATAAGCAGCTACACCTGTTTGGCTGTTGTTGTTTAATGCTACACTCAGCAGTATTCTATGCCAGCTTGGAAATAATGCCATCTGGATCAGACAATCCAGTGACCAATATTATGAGCACTGATCCATGTCTTGGGGATATGTCAAGAAACGACACATCTGAACTCTTCCCTCTTATGACCAGTATAGGTTAGTTAGCATGTAGGAATATACATTGTCACATCTAAAGGTATTTTTAGTTAAACAAAACAGGAGCGGGGCACTCGATCTTGTTTTATCATAGCATTAAATAAAATTGGTCGTTGAGATCGTGGCTAGGAGATATACCAATGTACAGTATCCATAAAATGGTCGTGTGTAATAACATGTGCTTCATTCATTCACTCCGGGTGATCTGTACATCAGGGTGGTCTGTTCTCCAGAATGATCTGGAATTCCTCAGTGAATGGCCATTTTATTTAGGGGTGGGGTGAACCAGGAAAAGGCCAACAAAAACTATGAGAGCCTAAAGAAGGGTAAAAATTGAATACACAATTTTAAATAAAATATACCATGAACTTGCATTTTGTCTTTTCAGGAAGTACATAAGTATATACAAAAACCTCTGAGACACCAATTAAAAAAATAAATTACCAATCCCAAATTGCAATTTAGCCATTGCTGTTGTCTTACTGCAAGACCCTTATTGACAGCACAAGCCCCTGCAAGATGTAACACAGGTACACAATTAGTCTGTCCTACAGACACTGAAACAAATACAGCCAAGAAAGCCCATGTAAGCCCAGAACATTTCACCAGTGACTCCCAATAACCTCTCTTCATTGACTCTCTTATATACATGTATATATAGTGACTCTGAACTCTTTCTTGTGCGTTTTGAGCATGTCACTGACATGGATATATGTGCTATGATACATGTAGTCTATTATTATCATTAATATGCAGCAAGTCTAGATTTCCACAGTTTCAGGAAAATGAAGAAAATCTCTGGGCTCCTTTTCATTGTATTTTATTATTATAACTTATGAACCGTTTTTCAGTTAAATATGTTCATTTCAGAGTCTAGATGTTTGTCTAGTCCACAATAAAACAGGCCTGGGAGAGACTGGATTGTTTGTGCTTTCACCAACATATGAAGAAACAATAAACAGTTATAAGTCAATAAGAAATGCATATGTTACAATATAGCATAAACATTAAGCCTGAAGGAAAAGTCATATGGATCAAACTGGGATTAAAATGGGTCCCAAAATATCTAACAGCAAGTTTCACCTTTGTTTGACCTTTGCACATTTTTTCAAGCATACAACTTTGCGATATTTAGAAAGTAAACTTGATGTGGCGTACTATGGTGAGAGGGGAGGGGGTCAGATCTTCATGCAGAGAGGTATTGTACTGTAGTGAAATATTTGATTTTAATCTTCTATAATGAGATGAGTTTTTCATACTTTAGAGTCAACTATAACATCAATAAGATTCATCTAATCTTATTGGGTATTCCATCAATTGTGATATGAACAATGATAACAGATCATCAGGACAACAGTATATATATATTATGTCAGTGTGATGATATAGGTAATAATGTCATAGTGATGGAATTACCAAACAATTCGATGACCTAACAACTTCACAACTTTTGTCAGTCTGCGGAATATGACCACAAATCACCAAACTATTTGAAATACTGACAAGGTAACATCTATATCAACAGATGCACAATTTAGCAAGAATGACCAACTTATTGAATAAGACTGGACATCAAGCACACTGTTATACATAGTTTAAAACAGCAAAATATTTTCTGTCATCCTGAATACATGTCGTACAAAAATATACAAAGTAATTTCAGACATTTCTTCACAAAAATATATATTACATCATTTTTGGAAGATCTAAAATATGTTCTGTCACAAATCTAAGTGTGTTAGTATTTCAAAGAATGGAAAGAATACCTGACTACATTAGGTCAACATAGACCATATCAGCTGCAAAAAGTGGTAAATCCACATGGTTCCATGTCAGCTGCAGACAATGGTAAATTCACATGGTTCCATGTCAGCTGCAGACAATGGTAAATTCACATGGTTCCATGTCAGCTGCAGACAATGGTAAATCCACATGGTTCCATGTCAGCTGCAGACAATGGTAAATCCACATGGTTCCATGTCAGCTGCAGACAATGGTAAATCCACATGGTTCCATGTCAGCTGCAGACAATGGTAAATCCACATGGTTCCATGTCAGCTGCAGACAATGGTAAATTCACATGGTTCCATGTCAGCTGCAGACAATGGTAAATTCACATGGTTCCATGTCAGCTGCAGACAATGGTAAATCCACATGGTTCCATGTCAGCTACAGGCAGTGGTAAATCCACACGGTTCCATGTCAGCTACAGGCAGTGGTAAATCCACATGGTTCCATGTCAGCTGCAGACAGTGGTGAGTTCACATGGTTCCATATCAGCTGCAGACAATGGTGAGCCCAAATGATTCGATATCAGCTGCAGACAATGGTGAGTCCAAATGATTCGATATCAGCTGCAGACAATGGTCTGTTGGCATGGTTCCACGTCAGCTGCAGACAAAGGTAAATTCACATGGTCAATTGATATTGTCTCATGTCATGCAATGCTATGTCAGTATTGTTAAACTTAAGTTCAACATCAGCAGCAGACAATGGTATGTTGACAAATCCAACATCACCAGCTGACAATGGTATGTTGACAAAATCCAACATCAGCAGCAGACAATGGTATGTTGACAAAATCCAACATCGGCAGCAGACAATGGTATGTTGACAAAATCCAACATCACCAGCTGACAATGGTATGTTGACAAAATCCAACATCACCAGCTGACAATGGTATGTTGACAAAATCCAACATCAGCAGCAGACAATGGTATGTTGACAAAATCCAACATCAGCAGCAGACAATGGTATGTTGACAAAATCCAACATCACCAGCTGACAATGGTATGTTGACAAAATCCAACATCGGCAGCAGACAATGGTATGTTGACAAAATCTAACATCAGCAGCAGACAATGGTATGTTGACATATTCTACCATCAGCAGCAGACAATGGTATGTTGACATATTCTACCATCAGCAGCAGACAATGGTATGTTGACATATTCTACCATCAGCAGCAGACAATGGTATGTTGACATATTCCACCATCAGCAAAACAATGGTATGTTGACATAATCCAACATCAGCAGCTGACAACGGTATGTCAGTTTAGTTGCAAGCAGCTGGTGTGCTAAAGGTGACAGAGTAGTAACATCGTTCCTTTTCCACAAACTTCACAATACGATCCTCAATACCACAGAAAAAATGGATCTGAAAGTAGAAAAATGTAGTTTTTTAAGTAAAATTGATATTTTATACTCATCCTGACTCATGATCTTTTGCTTAGCTCCCTCTTCTATGCGAATGTTAGTGGAACACTTGAATCCTTTGTAGTTCCCTAAAGCGGACATAAAAGTACACTCACCCACGAGTTACCTCCCTTCTCCCGCGCAAACAGTCATGTGACCAGTCTTACTTGTCACTCTCTCCTGAATTTTCTGTCCATGCACCTGGATCTACTGTGAAATCCGAAGTGTTTCCAGCGGGGAGGTTGGGAGGGCTTCTCATGAGTCAGGATAAGTATAAAATATCAAGTTTACTTAAAAAATTACATATTTTTCCATATCCTGACTCATGATCTTTTGCTTAAAGAATCTGACGGATTGGTGGTGGGTCAAGCCACTTCGTGGATTCATCAGCTGTCCTTAGATATGTCCTGTATCCCCTCCATGGGATCCTAGATCCTATACTTCCGTTATAACTCGGGGGGACCACAATCTTGTCTTACTTCTCTCTCAGACAAGTAGAATCTTGTAGATTCATGTGGCTTAAGATATACTAGTATCTTCTGTTTACTAGTTATCTATAACAACCCATAGATTATGATAAGATCTTTATCAAAAATGAGTTGTGACCCCTTAACGTACAGGTAAGATCTTTACCCGCACAGAGTCTTAATCACTCATGCCAGCCTAGTCTAGACTGTGCACATGGACTTTCAAACTAGAACTTTTCCATAGTAAAAGTTATCAACAATTCAACGTGATACAGGGTGAGATTTTCAACTCAGCCTTTGTGGAACCGTTGTGCTACAACGAAAGGGCCAAACTGGTGAATGTCTTTGGTGGCTATGTCTCGGAGGTAGTGGTTGGCAAACACCGTATCCGACTTCCAGAAGCAGCCCTCCATAATTGATGATATAGAGCAATTTCCATGCAGAGCGAGTGTTGACGCCAGTGCTCTGACTTCGTGTGTCTTTTGAAGATATATCTTCAAGGCTCTGACAGGACACAAGGATAAGTCCTGGGTGTCCTCTGGTCCGAGGATCGTAGATAGCACTGGTACATGGAACTGTCTATCTGGTTGACCAGGTAGTTGATTCTTTGCAATAAAGTCCCATCTAAGTCCTAGATGTACTGCAGCACGGTGCCCCGTGTCGAATCTAGTTTGTCCAAACTCCAGCGCATGTATCTCAGACATTCAAGCTGCCGTGGCTAGGGCAAGTAGGAACAGAGTCTTCTGTGTGAGTAGCTCGAAGGTAGTCTGGTCTAGAGGTTCGTAGGTATCACTCATGAGAAGTCGTAGAATTACATTCAGATCCCAGGCTGGTACTCTGAAGTTCTTTTGCTGGTCCTCCAGTTTAAAAGATCGCAGCAGAGCAAGTAATTCTGGTACTTTCGTCAACTTGATGCCTGACTTCATAGCGACTGTACTGATGGCTGCCAGATATGTGGATAATGTCAAACCTTTCAGCTGTCTTGTATATCTGAGGTGACATAGATATTCCGCCACTTGAGGATGAGAAGCTTTCATAGCTGTGAAGCCTTTCCGCCTTGCATATTGCTCAAATTTCTGCCATTTGTCATCATACAAATTGTGAGTAGATCTGCGTAACGCTAAGGTTACTGCTTTCGCTGCTCTGGCGGAGTATCCTCTTTTCTTCAGACAGGTTTTGATATGGTCCGCACGTGTAGCTGGATCAGTGTTGGGTTCCTGTGGACTTGCTTGGTGTGCGGATGTCTGAGTAGGTTCGGCCATTCTGGTAGTTTGAGTGTTGGACTTCCGGGATCTTCTATTAGGTCTAGGAACCAGACTCTCGCTGGCCAATAGGGTGCGACCAAAGTCAGTTGTAGCACCTGTGTCTGTTCTTCAACAGCACTTTCGGTAACAAGATCGGAGGTGGTAACGTGTATACGTTTAGTCCTTCCCATGATATGCTCAGTGCATCTGTTGCCCATGCTTGGGGATCTTGTACTGGTGAAACAAACGTCTGTAGTTGTTTGTTGAACCTCGTGGCAAACAGGTCTATGGGGATCCTATTTCCCTTATGATGAGCCGAAATGCTTCTGGATGGAGCATCCATTCCATGGCTGACGGACGAAGGGGTCGGGAGAGAGCGTCTGCTAGCACGTTCTTGGCTCCTGCTATGTGACACGCCTTTATCCAGATGTTTGCATCCTCCATGTTGTTGAACAACTGGAATGTGAGCTTGGCGATCTTGTTGATCCTTGCCGATTTATGGAGAATGGTACTGTTGAGTTGTCCGTGTGGACCATCAGTATTCTGCTGCTCAGCGAACTCGACCATAGTTAGACATTGCCATGTTCATAGTGTTAATGGATGACTTGTATCTTGACCCAATGATCTTTTGGGACCACAATTCGATTCTGTGTTGTGATAAATCTTATTCTCAGAAATTGCAGATCTTGTTTTGGTTCTTCTTCATCAGGTTCACCAGCCATCCTAGTTGCGTGAGCAATTTGATTGTGAAGTTCAGCTGCTGTCTGAGTTGATTGGCATTTTGATGAACCTGTATGCCGTCGCCCAGATAAAAGGTATTGCGTAGACCTCGAAGACGTAGGTAGGTGACGATAGGCCTGATTATTTGTGTGAATAACCACGGAGCCGACGATATTCCAAACAGTAGTACGTTCCATTGGAAGTGCTGACCTCTAAATAGGAATCTTAGATATCTTCTTGATTCCGGATGTATCGGGATGTGCAGATAAGCATCCTGTAGGTCTATGCTGGCCATGTAATCTGCTGGATGGACGAGTAGTCTGAGTTGAGGCAGGTGGATCATTCTGAACCTCTCTGGTTTGAGTAGATAGTCTTTGTTGAATTTCCGCATGTTGTAAATCAACCTGAATTTCTCTTTGGAATTCTTCTTGGGTACTAGGAAAATTGGGGAGTAGAAGCCTGGCGTGAGATGATGTTGATCTATTCTCTCTACCGCATTCTTGGTTAGAAGCGAGTTGATGGCTTCTTGCAGTTTGTCTGCTGGCTCGTCTGCATAGTCGAAGACCATCAGTCTGAGGGTTAACGGTAGTGTGGCCTTGAGCTGCACTCTGTACCCTTCTCGCAGTACTTCTGAGACGTAGTCGTCATCCAGTATTCCCCAATATTCCCAGTACCTTTAGAGACGTCCACCCACTGTCGATGGTTCTGCAGGAACAGCTGGGGGTGGAAGTATCCAGTCATTCCGAACCCCAATTTCAGCATCTAGCTCCTCTGGAACCTCTGGGAGTACGTCCTCTCCCTGAGTTTCCTCTGTAGTTTCCGGCTGGGAGACGAAAAGAGCTTTTCCTGCCTCTGAAGCTGGAGTATTTCTTCTCCTTAGCCTTCTGGATACCGGAATATTTCAACTTGTTGTTGTACTTCTGTGAAGTATGACGAATGACGTAGGCTAGAGTATCTATAGACTTGATCATCATGACTTCCCTTGAGTCGTGAGTAGCTTCCTTAGCTGCTTCATCTATCTCACCTCCGAAGATGGTAGGCGCTGCCCAAGGAGCTCTAAGTAGCGGTTGGGTAAATCTGCCGCTCCAGGAACATGATGCCAGTAGACCCTGTCTCCGTATCAAGGTGAGACCCGCCGACGTTGAGGCAATATGGTCCGATATGAAGTATTGGTCCTTCTTCTGAGTGAGCAGAGCAGATAATATCATTCTATCTTCTTCCGAACTGGGGTTCTGGAACTTGTTAATCAATGCCTCAGTGATTGCTCTGGATCTCGCTAGTCCGAAGAAGGATCTCCTCGTGGCAGAATCAACTTGGGCCAACTTCTTATCCTCCACCTTGTAGATCTTGTTCCGAGAGAGTCGTTGACCAACTTCATATTTTCATCTAAGTCCGGCGCTCTCATAAAGGGGTTCATGTGATGTAACGGGAATTTCCTCGCATTAAATGGTGGCAGATGTTGATTCTGGAATTTAGTGGCTTTCTCAAAAGCCAAGCGTAGGTTCGAAGGCACCTTGGATATTGGTTCAATAGGAGGTATAGTCACCAAGTCGAAGTCATCATTGCACATCTTATATGTGTAAACTTCATCCAATTCCTTGGAGGGAGACCCTAAGTTCAATCCATTAGCTATCCAAGCTGTAACCTCCGCTTCTGAGAAGACGTAGTCGCCATGTTCGTCAGATAGTTCTTGATCCGTAGATCTATGCCTTCGCGAATCCTCCTTCTGCGAACCTTCCTTCCGCCAACCTTGCTTTCGTGAACCTCTATCTTGTGATCCATCTCTTCGCGAACCTGTCTTGTGATCCATCCCTTCGTGAACTTCTCTCTCACAAACCTTGCCTTCTCGAACTTCCTTCTTGTGAGCCTTGCCTTCGCGAACGTTCCTCTGAAGGTCTGTGAGGAGTGCGGGATCTAGATCTGGAACGGCTGGATCTCGGAGATGGCTTTCTAGGCTATCTCGAACGTTGAGGGTTCGCAGACGTAGTTCTCGTAGAGTTAGTGGCCTTCGCGAATCTTCCATCTTCTTCCATGATGGCAGAGTCGTCACACTGTGATGATCTTCTCGAACGTGAATGTTCGCCAACGTTGTCTTCAGACGTAGATCTGAGAGGTATCTCAGGTTCGCACAGGTCTGAGGGTTTGTGAACGTTGCCGGTTGACGTGAGGTCTGTCGTGCCTTCGATTCCTCATTGAACCGTCGCTCCATCATGGCCATCATTTGGGTAGTAAATTGCCTCATGAAGTCGCCTGGATCTGCGCTGACTGGAACTGATGCGGCGTCGACGAAGCGTTCGCGAACACTGAGGTGTTGTGTGCTTCAACTTCACTACGTTGAGAAGTTGGTGGTTGGTCATCAAACAGGTGGCCCGCTGTTGTAGTTGCAGGAGACGATCTAGTAGTCGTGGAGGTCAATTGCGTCGCCGATCTAGTAGGTACTTCAGGCAGAAGTAACGGTGGTTCATCAAACACGTCTGCTTCATGAGGTGGGATGAAAATATGTCACAAAATACAATCAATTTCTTCAAAATTTTACATATAATACACGTTAGTTATGGCCAAATACCATACACAGCGTAATTTCGATAAATAGGATCTAAAGGATATATGCCGTATACAGGACTCCAGTGCACAAAGGGAGAGAGTGACAAGTAAGGCTGGTCACATGACTGTTTGCACAGGAAAAGGGAGGTAACTCATGGGTGAGTGTACTTTTACGTCCGCTTTATGGAACTACAAAGGATTCAAGTGTTCCACTAACATTCGCATAGAAGAGGGAGCTAAGCAAAAGATCATGAGTCAGGATAAGGACAAATCATCATTTTTAGAGTGTTATAAAACATACTAAAAAATCTACAAATTATAACATTAGTATGTCTGGTTGTTCCATTATGAAGCATGTAACATGTTCATATACTCTTTAGTGCATTGCCCACTTGTTATTGGCACCATGGAGTAACCTAGTGGTTCAAGTGGTCACTTGTCATGCTGAAGACCTGGGTTGATTCCATTTCTGATGACTCCATGTCATGATTTTATCAGAATATTGCTTAACGTGGCATAAAACCAGTCACTCACTCACCATTAGTTACCAGTTCCTACCTTAGTTTTTCTAGGACTACCCAGAGGACACAGTTTGGCGTCTCCCTCGGCCATGACCAGCACATAGTCCCCAGGCTTCTGCTTCTCCCATCTTGGGCGCTGCCCCAGGGAGACGCGGGGTTGGGGGAACTTCTGCTGGGTGACGGATGAGAAGGGGCAGATGGTGTACTCATACTCTGTGGTATGGTGCTGGAAACACTGTTTTGTCAGCTGGTAGAACGCTCCCTCTGGACCATACTCCTGCAAGCACAAACAGGGTCAGTATGTAGCTGGAGGGTTTGGGGGGTAAGTAGACAGAAGAAATGTGGGGTAAGTTAATAGATGAGTAGGGAGTGAGTTAGTAGAAGAGTGAGTGAGTGAGTCAATAGAAGAGTAGGAAGTGAGTTAATAGAAGAGTAGGAAGTGAGTTAATAGAAGAATAGAGAGTGAGTTAATAGAAGAGTAGGAAGTGAATTAATAGAAGAGTAGGAAGTGAGTTAATAGAAGAGTAGAGAGTGAGTCAATAGAAGAGTAGGAAGTGAGTTAATAGAAGAGTAGGAAGTAAGTTAATAGAAGAGTAGGGAGTGAGTTAATAGAAGAGTAGAGAGTGAGTTACTAGAAGAGTTGGAAGTGAGTTTATAGAAGAGTAGGAAGTGAGTTAATAGAAGAGTAGGTAAAATGGAAGAATAGGAGAGTTAATAGAAGAATGGAAGAGAGTAGGGAGTGAAGTGAGTTAATAGAAGAGTAGGAAGTGAGTTAATAGAAGAGTAGAAGTAATAGAAGAGTAGGAAGTGAGTAAATAGAAGAAGAATAGGAAAGAGTGAGTTAATAGAAGAGTAGTTAATAGAAGAGTTAATAGAAGAGTAGGAAGTGAGTTAATAGAAGAGTAATAGAAGTGAGTTAATAGAGTGAGTTAATAGAAGAGTAGGAAGTTAATAGAGTTAATAGAAGAGTAGGAAGTGAGTTAATAGAAGAGTAGGAAGTGAGTTAATAGAAGAGTAGGAAGTGAGTTAATAGAAGAGTAGGAAGTGAGTTAATAGAAGAGTGAGTAGTGAGTTAATAGAAGAGTAGGAAGTGAGTTAATAGAAGAGTAGGAAGTGAGTTAAATAGAAGAGTAGGAAGTGAGTTAATAGAAGAGTAGGAAGTGAGTTAATAGAAGAGTGAGTGAGTGAGTTTAGTTTTCCACCGCTTTTAGCAATATTCCAGCAATATCACGGCAGCGGACACCACAAATGGGTAATAGAAGAGCTGGGGGTGAGTTAATAGAAGAGTTAGCAGTCAGTAGATGGAAGAACAGGGAGTGACAAAGTGTTTTTGCAGTGACCAGAGACTGCCTTTGATTCCATATTAAAGAAACACCTGAAGATTTAAACTTTGCTTAAGTTTGGTACAGAATGATTTTATTTTACTGACCAAAGAATAATAACGTTATTATTATAATATTTTCTATGGCCTTGAGTCATTTCTCAAATTCAAAGCTGTTGAACTCTGGTGAAAAATCAGAGAAAGTATTGCCTTGTTGCATTTTGTCATTATATCCGTATTTCAAAACCTTGTGGCGAAGAAATGACTGGCAGAATTGAATGTGATGGACTAGAGTAGCTTCCCTTTGATAAAGGTGGGCTTGAGGATTGCTTCCAAAGGGCAATTAATGATATAGTCCAGGAGAATCTCAAAAAGGGCCTAGAAATAGGATTTCGTAGCCTCCCCAGTAATGATTTTGTTTGACTCTATTTTCACTTAGTATGATGTCTTAGGCTCATGAAATGGCCTGTAATACTCTCAGATTGTGGTATCAGGGTTTTTTACAGCCCATTATATGTGGTGGAGGTCTGCGAGCAGTTTCATCACATTTCATTTGCTGTCCGACAACACCTCAAACTTAATCATATATAGTTTTACTACTATCAATCTGATCACTTTCATTTTGACTTCTGTGTTTTGCTAAAGGATGTAGAAATTAATTGAAATTTTTTTGTTTTTGAAAAAAGTCAAAATGGGGCACCATTTTGGCCACCATTTTGTTTTGTCGTGTTTTGATTCCCAAAGTTACATAAAAATGAACACCGAATGTTTCCATTTACATCCAAAGTTGATATGTTGTTTGACACTTGTATCTCCTAGAGTGATGGCTTGGGCACAAAGCAAGTCATTTTGTATGGTCATATCGTGGTAATATAATATTTTACAGCTTATTATTTGAGACAGGGGTATTTTAGCGATTCTCCAACTTTTCATGGAAATGTGTGGGAGTGATGTATTTATCGAAAGTTAACATTATTTTTGTAACTAAAACAGGTTGTTACAAAATGGCCGACATTGTAGTTTTACTACATATACATAGTGGAGGACTAAATTTTGTACTGATATAAAAACCAAACAATTCATTTGGTGTCAAGTGTTTAATACATTTGGTGTCAAGTGTTTAATAATATACAGTATTGGAAGGTACTGGCAACAAATCAAAGGTGTTCGGGCAACAAATAAATTTCTGTGAATGCATGACTCTTGCATGCACTTTATGCATTTACATGATGTCAGTTCAACCAATCCACGGGGAGCAGGATCTCCCGACATCAGAATAGGGATAAGCTGACCAATACAAATGCTCCAACCATGGTCAACTGGTGAAGTAATGTTCATGATTGGTTGCAGAGACTGTTTCCAAACATGCACTTGGTAGTTTACTCGCTCAATGTGATGAGTAATAACGTAAACATTCCCTCTGGATTATGGTAGCCTTATTCCTGTGTATACACAGAATACATACAGAAAATCAAAAGAAATTTTAACACTAAGTCATAGCTATTCATAGTGGTATACCTAGTCTACCCCTAAGTTATCTCCCTTGATCCTGACGTCACTGTATTGTTCTCCTAGAACCCTTCATAATTTTTCTGTATGGTCCACAGGCATGACGTGCAGAGAATCGAGTGAAATTTCATTTCAAATCAAGACTTCAATTCTCCATATATAGGTCAGTTACAAATCGCATTCCATTTAATATTCAATCGCATTGCTGTTTTGCATTTGTATTGGATATATTTCCAACGTATTTAGGGTCTGAAGTTTTCCCGCCCTTTTTGATTGACAAGTATGGCACAGAGCAAATGTCTGTAATGTCAGAAATTCATGGCGGATGTTGATCCCCACTCTCTGTGTGCTTCCTGTTATAAAGGCTTACCTTGCTCAATCTCGGATCGATGCTTATTGTGTCAGGAAATGTCTGAAGAAGATTGGTTGTTGATGGACAAATCTCGAAGAAAGTTCATGGATCTCCGCCTTTATCTGTTAAATCTGAACCGAAGTCTCGTTCCAGATCTAAATCAAAATCCTCTCCCCAGTTGGATATATCTGCGTTCTCAGAACTATTGGTGGGATTTAAGTCCGATATCCAGGCGGCCATGGATAAATCTGTATGGGATATGGAGATGAGGAATGACGAAACATTTAATTGCCTGTCAAACCATTTGGAGGATCCTGTTTTATCCGGCAAGATAGCAGATAGCCGCAGTGGCTTGGTGGTCGATGGCAAGAGCAGGGGGCCAAAGTCACTTCCTACGGAAACCAGGGGTGCAATGACCGGGAAAGCCGGTTACCATGCCCTGGTGTACGTAGGAGGCCGGTCCCCTCAGGGGGAGAAGCCTAGGGCTTCAAGCGACGGGGAAGGAGTCGGCCCAGCCGGATCCGGATCCGGGGTGACCCTGGCTCAGGCTACACACTCCGCGTCCTTTGTCCCGGGAGCCAGTCATCCGTGGCTGCTTCCTGTCGCATACAGCCTGCTACCTTCTCCCACGGGGAGACCGACCTGCAAGCGTTTCACGGTGTCTGACTCGGTCCAGACGGCACGGGATTCCCACCCCGGCTTTAGCCAGGCCAGTGGGTCGGCTGCTATGGATAACGGTGTATCAACCAAGCAGTCTTATTTGCACGGGCCTAGCGGTTCAGAAAACATGGCTACGGACCTGCAAGGCTATTTTGACACCGACAATCCGCCCTTAATCCCGTTAGTGTCTGATGTGACGGATCAGAAGGATTCATCGGTTTATCCTTTTTCACAACCGGAGTTTTCCATGAAAGAAGGGTTGTTGACGGTACAACCTATGGACATGTCAGCACAGGATTTTAAACCGGGCTGGTCATTTAAGGAAAAGCTGGAATTTTTGCACGGACTTTATCCTAATATTCTACCACCGCCGTCGGACGAGCAGGAGATAGATATTCCCGTGGAACTCGGATTATCAGGTTGCCTTCCCAGAACGGATGCCCAGGCTGTCATTACCACATTCATCACCACTTCAGAATGTGTTGGAGAATTACAACTTAGGCCTCTCAAAGGCTAAGAACTTGAGTTCTTTGCATAGGGTTTCTCATAAACCCATTTATTCCATTCATGATCGTGCTATCCCAGCCAATCAACCAAGTTTAAACAAGGACATTAAACAGTTACAGGATGCTAGAGGCTCTCGTGACTATGCACCATTCTGTACTTTCAAGGATTGTAGGAACTGGATACGACAGCCCGTTCGGCGATTGATACCCTATCTTATTCAAACTGGTTTTCTGCGGGAGTTCGTGCTTTGCTCCCACCGGTGTTTCAAGATTATACAGGAGTTAAGAAAGACACTTTGATTTCCATGACTGCTCAAGAGGTGGCGTTAGAGCATTCGTTTCTGGATGTAGTGTATCAGTCCTTAGCCGATGCGATGGCGACTGAAGTGAATATTGGGCTGACTTACAGCTATTGAGCGGATACAGCGGCTAGATTCAGTGAGGAATATACCGGATGTTTCATGGGATTTTCTGTTTCACCAGCCCTTGGAATCGGATAACACCTTTAATGGACAATGTCAACAGGCTATTGAGGCTAGAGATGCTTTGACGTCGAGGAACTTGAATCAACGTTTGGCGTCGGCTCTTTTATTCCAAAATAGAGGAAGGGCTGACACTAGATCTGCTCCATCTTCAGCAAGTCGTAGTCAGAAGTTTCAGAGGTCTGCATTTGAACGTGCCTCGGATTAAAGAGCGTGTTCAACAAATGTGGCTTTTACTAGAGGCTCATCCTCATCTAGGGGTAGAGGTAGGGAGGTAGATTTTTCATAAGAAATATTGACTCAAGTCTCACTGTTCAGCGTTCTCTTCCTTACGAATCGGAAACGATCCTCTACATGTTATTGGAAGAAGTTGTTAGCACTCACGAATAAAAAGAAGTTGTTATCCATAAAGTTTGTTCTATATTGGAATTTGACTTTGTATGTCCGGTGACACAATCTCCAGTAGGGGGCAGGTTGGCCCAATACTTAGACAATTGGAAACTAATAACATCAGACGAGTGGGTCCTGTCTGTCGTGAGCAGGGGGTTTATTCTTCCTTGGCACAAGCAGCCTCCAGTGACTTGCTTTCCAGAGGGTCTTCGGTTTGTTCTTCAAGGCCAACGTTTAGCAGGAGCAAACTTAGCAATAAATCAGTTACTGAAGAAACGGGCAATCATAGAACTTCCTCCAGGGGATCAGACATGCGGGTTTTATTCACCGGTATTCCTAGTCCCCAAGAAGGATTCGGACGAAATGCGCATGATAATAGACTTGAAAGTGTTGAACAAGCAATTTTTGAGGAAACCGCCAAAGTTTAGGATGGAATCAATTGCGGTGAACGGCCGCAGGTTTCAGTTCAGTTCAGGTTTCCTCCATTCAAATTAATGCCAGAGGTTCTGTTAAAAATTCAACAACACGACTGTCCAGTTTATCTAGTGGCACAAGCGTGGCCTGCCAGACCTTGGTTTCCCACTCTACTGCAGCTATTGGTGGACAAACCTCTACGTCTTCCATTGTGGCACAATATAATCAGTCAACCCAAGTCCAACAGATTTCACAAGAATGTCAGTCAACTTGCGCTACACATATGGAAGCTATCTCAAGCTCACTCAGGAAACAGTGATTTACGAGTGGAGCTACCAGAGCTATTTCAGAATCCGTTAGACCTTCCACAGCTGCCTTGTACGACGCTATGTGGCGACGATTCATCCAGTGGAGACGAGAGTGTGGAATCTTGGATGTGCCTGTCACCATTCCAATGATAGCAGATTTTATCTTGTTCCTAAGGGAACAGAAACATTTAAAGCATAATACTATTGAGGGATATCGATCAGCTATTGCTTCAGTCATGGACGTTCAAGGTTTATCTGTGGGCTCGGATACATCGCTTCACAAAATGATGAGATCCTTTCAGATTAAGGATATATCGTCTCCAACGATATTTCCTAAGTGGGATTTAACGTTAGTAATTCAATCTCTTCAAAAATCTCCTTATGAGCCTATGCAGGACGCTTCTCTAAAGTATCTGGCATTTAAGACGGCATTTCTCTTGGCATTTGCAACGGCTTCCAGAGTTTCGGAATTACATGCTATTGACTTTAAATCCATCACTTTTTCGGAAGGATATAAACAGATAACTTTTAGAACTGTGCCGGAATTCATTGCCAAGAATTAAACTTCAGCTTGTGGTCCTTTGGGACATAGGATATATCGTATACCTCAGCTTCCTACCTCTACCTCTAGATCGGATAGGACTAGACGTTTGTGTCCCATATGTGCCTTGGCCTGGTACATTCAGCGTACTTCGACGTTTAGACGAAATCGTCGCAGACTGTTTATTTCATGTAAGACAAATGTAGACTCTGAGATATCCAAGAATACCATATCTTCATGGCTCAGAAAGACTATCTTTTGCTTATAGGGATCAGAATCAAGACTTAATTGATCTTAAATTCTCCCCCCATGAAATTAGAGCCCTAGCTTCATCCTTAGTGGCTTGGTCATCAGTTCCGTTAGAACAAGTTGTGTCTAGTTGTCAATGGAAATCTCCTAATACCTTTATCCATTTTACCTCAGGGATGTTGCTCCCTCTATTGAAGGTTTACATTCATTAGGACCTTTAGTAGCGGCTCAGCACCTTGCCTCCGCCTGACTGCCCCTTTTGGGGGTAGGGGGAGTGGGGGTGTTGACCTGGCATCTGCATCTTCAGGAAGGATGACGCAGTGAGAGATGGTGCCTGGGACTATCTGAGGGACCACTCGGAAGGATGATGGATACTGGTCAAGAGACAGCATGTAGCAAGACAAGTTGACATGGTAAGAGAATTTACATTTAGATGTATCACCTAACCGAGCACAATATGGACAGAGTTTCTAACTTCTGAGCTATGGTTGATGGCTTCAGGTTAGAATATGATTTACAAGCTCAAGGTGGTTACCTTAAGGTTTGAGTTGAGCACATTTATAGTCTAATGATAGTTAACTGGAAGTGACGTCATAGAACCGGAAGTGACATCATAGATCTGGAAGTGACGTCAACTAGGTTAGTTAGTATTACATCATAGAGATTGTCTCTAGGGTCCGGAAGTGATATCATCAAACAGGAAGTGATGTCATACTTACCGGAAGTGATGTCATAAGTTTAAGGAATATTAGGTTTAATGACACAATTCGAGACTTGAATAGAATCATGATATATTCATAGGAATCTAGTGTAATCCGGATTTATGATGTCAGGAATTATATAATTCCTACTAATACGGATTAGGATTATCATGATATCTATCATATCAACCATAACTGTAGGAAGTTAGAAGACTCTCCATCTCTGGGAATGTATTCCCTCACTGCTACTGACCAAACTGGAGATAAATTATTTATCTCTGACTAAGTCATAGTTATTCTTAGGAGGTTGAGCAATCAACTCTCAGTTAGTGGTATAGAGGGTAGTATCTTCCAAGGGTAACCCTCCTTCCTTACTTGGGATTCAGGCTACCATATTCCAGAGGGAATGTTTACGTTATAATTAGGAACAATTACATGTATTGTTAGTAATTGTTAGTAAACTTACCTCTGGATTATCACCAAGGGGAGTAGTTCCCACCCTGTGTCCTCCCCGCGAATTTATCCTTAGAAGATGTCATAGATGTGTTGTTTTTAGAAAAATTATGAAGGGTTCTAGGAGAACAATACAATGACTTCAGAATCAAGGGAGAAAAACTCCCAACATCCAACAGTCTAAAACATCACATTGAGCGAGTAAACTACCAAGTGCATGTTTGGAAACAGTCTCTGCAACCAATCATGAACATTACTTCACCAGTTGACCATGGTTGGAGCATTTGTATTGGTCAGCTTATCCCTATTCTGATGTCGGGAGATCCTGCTCCCCGTGGATTGGTTGAACTGACATCATGTAAATGCAAAAAGTCAGCATGCAGCGGAGAGATCTACGGGTATGTCGATGTAGACAGAATGATCTAGTGTTCACAGAGGCATGTCTGTTTGTATGTCAGGTATTTGTTGCCCGAACACCTTTGATTTGTTGCCAGTACCTGACTCTGATTCTGACATGGAGTAACAAATAATATGAAAGAAATTAAAATGAGTGTTAATTGAGAGCTTCTGAATCAGTGAATGTATCAAAAGTGATTTAAGAGTTTTCTTATAGAACAGTATGAATAGCTACAACCAGAGTTTAGAACCAGTTATCGGCCATGAAGCATAGTTTTCAAACACTTTTTGATAATGTTATTTCATCAAATAATTTAGGAGTGTGAAGCTTTCACTGACCATATCATTGAAATTTAGTTCTATTCCAATACTGTATTAAACACTTGACACCAAATGAATTGTTTGATTTTTTTATCAGTACAAAATTTAGTCCTCCACTATGTATATGTAGTAAAAGTACAATGGTGGCTAACAAAACTAAAGAGAAAACAAAAACAACCTGTTCTAGTTACAAAAATAATGTTAACTTTCGATAAATACATCACTACCACACATTTCCATGAAAAGTCGGAGAATCGCTAAAATACCCCTGTCTCAAAGAATAAGCTGTAAAATATCATATTACCGAGATATGACCATACAAAATGACTTGCTTTGTGCCCAAGCCATCACTCTAGGAGATACAAATGTCAAACAACATAGAAAATATCAACTTTGGATGTAAATGGAAACATTCGGTGTTAATTTTTATGTAAATTTAAACGCTGAGAAGGCAAAACACGACAAAACAAAATGGCGGCCATAATGGCGTCCATTTTGATTTTTTTCTCAAAAACAAAAATTTGTCAATTAATTTCTACATCCTTTAGCAAAACACAAAAGTCAAAATAAAAGTGATCAGATTGAGAGTAGTAAAACTATCCATGATTAAGTTTGAGGTGTTGTCGGACAGCAAACCAAATGTGACGAAAATGCTTGCAGACCCCCACCACATGTAATGGCCTGTATAAAAAAACTGATACCACAATCTGAGAGTATTACAGGCCATTTCATAATTAGAACCTATCAGAATTGGAACATCCAAGACATCCTTTTGTTCATATCACAACTTGTAGGGCTTGCTTACCATATACAAACAACTCAAATTTATAATGGCCTCCACAAAACGGCCATAATAAATTGGTCAAAAGCATATCATTCAAACTGTGACATTGGTGTGCATGTGCCAGTGACACAGCACCATGCCATCGCCCACCTGCTGCTGAGATGCGGGGAGTGACTTGGCCAGGTCGACATACTTCCTCCTCTTCCTCTGTCCCTCATGTCTGATCTGCTCCTCTTTGCTGCGGAGATGCACAATCTTCTCACAGTGGTTGTTACACGGAGACTGATAGATGTTCTTCTCCTGAGATTCCTCTAAAACAGACAAAGTGACAAGTATTTCAATAATACAGAGGGTAGGGATGTCAGTTTTAGAACAGTCTATCAAACTGACTTCTGGTGGGAGGGGTATGAAAGGTCTATGTGCTGTGTTGATTTCTAGTCAGTCTGGACATTATAGCTATAGTCTGTTTGGCTCAAAGCCGGACCGATGAATTGTAATCTAACTCGAAAACTAAAAAAACATATAATATTCAATGAAACGCTGATCATAATCAAAACATCAGACCAACTCTGTGATTTTTTGGCAGAATTTATGTCCTAAAAATACAAAAGTTGTTTAACAAACTATCATTAAAATTTTAACACAGTTCACTATTTGTTATGAGGGAGGAGTGCATAGAGGGGAACAGCCAGCTGTGCAAGAAAGGGTGGAGACGGCACAGCACTGGTAAATGAATCATTAACTTTGTCTAACACATTAACACTAAGTATTGTGCATGTGCCTTGCGTACACCTGTCAGTTTGCACTCCTCCCTCGTAACAAATAGTGAACTGTGACAAATTTTAATGATAGTATGTTTTGTAGTTTTCAAGTTAGATTGCAATTCATCAGTCTGCTTTTGATCCAAATGGACTACAATGTCTGTCTAAATGTGAGATGCTGTGTAATAAGGTCTGTAGTGAACTTCTACATTAGCCTACATCAGACCTATATCTGCAGCCCAAGTGGTGTACAATTCACTGGGAGTGAGGGAGTTTAGTTTTACGCCGCACTCAGCAATATTCCAGCTATATGGTGGTGGTCTGTAAATAATTGAGTCTGGACCAGACATTCCAGTGATCAACAACATGAGCATTGACCTGCGCAATTGGGAACCGTTGACATGTGTCAAACAAGCCAACAAGCCTGACCACCCGATCCCTTTAGTCGCCTCTTACGACAAGCATGGGTTACTGAAGGTTCATTCTAACCCGGACCTTCAGGGGTTACAATTCACTGAATAGATAACACATGATGAGATTGTTGATAGATTAAGTATGAGTCAAGTTGAGTTGATAATGAACACTATACAGAGATGTTGGTGACAAACCAAAGGTTACAACTAGGGAAAATCTTGGCTTCTAAGAACCAGGAAACCCTGACATGACGGAGGGACACAACTGTGCAGTCAACTGCAGTGCCTTAGAACATTAACATTGTATAATATTTATTGAGTATTGTGGTTCAGCTGGACGCGTCATGATGGTAGAAATGTTTCTATTATTAAAGTAAATATATACACATAGCAACAGCGTCCTGCTAACGGCGAGACAGAACACTCGCTATAAAAAAGTCTTTCATTAATCTTTCATTAACTGACTGCCAAGTATGACCTTATACCCCTTTTAAACAATATTCCTGCAATATCATGGTTAGGGACACCAGACATATTGGCTTCAGACATTGTACCCATGTGGGGAATGAAACCTGCGGGGTGATGAGTGAATGGTTTAGCCATAAGGCTACCCCCCAGACACAAGTCAGACATCAAAAAACACTAGAAACAATGATGACAGTGAGTCATTCAATTGTCTTCCCTTAACTTTACTATGTAGCATAAAATATATTGATGATCATGTCAATGCTTTAGTTATGATCATGGAAGGAATTTTATATTACTGTACAGACAGAATAGGAAACTGAAAGATCCAATGCAAGATAAACCAATAATTTTGAATGCACTTTACGTAATATTGTGTTACAGATCACAACTAACAATGTCATTTAACCATGGGTTGAGGATTTAAAGATCACATATACTCTAGAGGGGTACAAATACATAAATCATTTATTGGCATCATTATAAATGAAACCCCATCATTAAAACTACTCATTTTGACATTTAATTAACTTAAATCAACCTTTTTGACAACAGTGCACAATTCTCTCCCGCGAACGAAATTTCAATCAACGTAACGTAATGTGAGGTATGCATTTGAGAGGCGCTGTAGAATTCATGTACATTTCCGGGGGTAATATTATCTTGTTTAGGGACCGTTCATAATTAATGGCTTGGGGTGTGGGGTGTGGGGGGAATGATGATTTTAAGAGGGGTCACCCATTTTGTTCTGGGAAGGTAGGGGGGTCATCAATTTTGTACACATGTTTCTGGGGGGCGGGTTCAGCAATTTTGTACAGTAAAATATGAGTGAGTGAGTGAGTTTAGTTTTACGCCGCACTCAGCAATATTCCAGCTATATGGCGGCGGTCTGTAAATAATCGAGTCTGGACCAGACAATCCAGTGATGAACAGCATGAGCATCGATCTGCGCAATTGGGAACCGATGACATGTGTCAACCAAGTCAGCGAAACTGACCACCCGATCCCGTTAGTCGCCTCTTACGACAAGATAGTCGCCTTTTTATGGCAAGCACATGGGTTGCTGAAGACCTATTCTACCCCGGATCTTCACGGGTCCAGTAAAATATGAAAAATTATGCTTTTAAAATAAAGAAAGGGGAAGGGGGGTCATTGACTTTGTACATGACATGCAAGGGGGGTCACTTACTTTGTACATAAATTTTAGGGGGGGACATTCATATTGTACATGCTTTTCCATAAAAATCATCATCACCCCCCCTAGCCATAAAATATGAACGGTCCCTTACAGGTTTGTCTAAACCTGAAATCATGGCAACTGTTGTGAAAAATGAAAGCTTTATGTTTTCACAATCTACTGTCATTTAATCTTGTCACCTGCTTTGCCTAGCTTCCGAGTTACAACTTGTTTTCATAGACGATTCTGTCAACATCACCTGTTGTCATAACGGTTACCTGTTGGCTAGGTCTGGCTGGGGGGTTAAACCATTTACGTCATGTGATTTAAATATGGTTAATTCAATGGGTTGGCATTTCAGTACAAAGCAGACTCTGACATGTCCGGAAGTAATTCAGACCGAGACAATCTTTCCATTCAATTTTCAATGAAGAAAACAATCACTAGACCTTATTTGTTCGAGCCAGACGCTAGTGATAGTGAAATGATGATCAGCCTCGCTCATCACAGTTACAGGAAGAAGATCACTTCTTTGAGAGGAAGAAGATCGACTAGTATCTACATAGTGGTGAGTGGACGTTAACCATGTGAATGTAGCAAGACATTTATCACGCAATATTGTCACTTTGACACCCATCCCGCACCGTGGCGGGAGAGAGTGAAGTAGACAACTTTTCAGCAACTTTTAATCGCTCGGTATTAATTAACCACAAGTTTTTAAGTATGAAATTTGGTGTTCCACTTAAGACTCAACACAAGTCTTTCATATGAAATGGTTAAAAGAGTACAAAAAATAAAAGTTTATTCATTCTTTAAAATTAAGGAGTAAATCTGTTTCCTTTACCACAGGTATTAGGGGTAACATATTGTGTACAAACCCTACACTTCCTGATGACATTGTTTCCAATTATGTGATATGACATTGTTTCCAGTTATCTGATATGACACTTCCTGATGACATTGTTTAAAGTTATCTGATATGACACTTCCTGATGACATTGTTTCCAGTTAACTGATATGACACTTCCTGATGACATTGTTTCCAATTATCTGATATGACATTGTTTCCAGTTATCTGATATGACACTTCCTGATGACACTGTTTAAAGAACCACTAAACTTTGTTTTTTGTTACTCTTTTAACCATTACATATGAAAGATTTGTGGTTAGTCTTATGCGGAACACCAAATTTATTCTTTAAAAACTTGTGGTTAATTAATACCGAGCGATTAAAAGTGGCCAAAAAGTCGCCTGCTTCCCTCTCGCCATGCTTGAAACCACAGACGGAGTTCACGTAACTCTGTCGCCAGAGCACTGCAGTGGCGTCATATGAGGAGCGATTTTCAGTTAGTTGTATAGAAAATGTGTAGCACGCTCATCATTTTGATGATTTCTCGACATCAACGACGACATGCCGAATCGTTGCTTTGTCGTCAATTGCTCCTAGGGTCGGGCGATGGTGCCCCATGCACAAATTTCCACAGGACCCGCGGTTAGTGCTAAATGGGTTATGTTTGTGAGTCGCGGCTGGCGTTGTGGAAGCCTGAAGCGATATCTTACTTGTGTTCAGATGTCGCTTCACGGAAGTTAAAGAATCAAAACTACTTACTAGTTGTAGTAAAATATGCATATGATTGATGACCATAAAGATTTTCTATGACACAACTTGTTACATAACGATTTCTTCCTTGGAAGTGAGGTTGTGGTCAGTAACAATAATATTGTAAGTAGTATTATATTGACACCCACCTCGCTGCCACGAGAGAGAAATTGTTATGTTATACCGCTATGTCATGCAAAATCCTATTGGCCATCAATAAAATACATATTTTACTACCAGTAGAAAGTAGTTTTGATTTTGTAACTTCGGTGAAAACAAACCTAAATACCATTTATCCTCAGACTGGCGGATGTTCCCGAAAGAGTATGCGCCATTTTCAAAAATAAAAATCTGTTAGAATTAATGAGATTATAGTTTGTTTTCAACAAGTTAGAAAATCAAGACTACTTTCTACTCGTGAGTTAAATATGTATTGGAATCATAACCAAACGGATTTTGCATGACACAGGTTATAACATAGCGATTTCTTCAAAGGAAGCGACGTGGGGTCGAAGTGACAATACTCTTGATATAAATTTCTTGCTACATTCCATGGTTAATGTCCACTCACCAGTATGTAGATACTAGTCAGTAATGCGTCTTTATATTTGGTCTTATAATCCTAATTAGTTTATTATCATACTTGTATGCATTTTGAAACTAAAAAAAAGCAGACGATCTGCTGATACTTGTAGTGAATTTATAACAGAACTGTAATATCTAGACATTTTATAGTTTGCCAATGTGAATCATAATTCAGCACACACACCCTAGTGCATGTTGTCTGTCTCATTACACTTCACGGTGAAAACTATGATTCTGTTGAATGCTACGACAAATGAATAAAAACAAAATGCAAATATTAAAATTAAAACAGATTAAAATTATAGGAACAATATAAGGCCATTACCTTGTTCGAGGAATGTATCCATCAATATCCACAAAACTGTTCCAAATGATGTGTCTTTTAACAGTTTAATATACTGAAAAAGTGATAAATCTTTTCAGGTATTGGTGTATAGTCTCATTGGTCACCCAAGATAGCACACCTGGCAACTAATTGCATAATGTCCGCCTTTCTTTAAAAACAGTAATTTAGTTAGCCAATAATGGGCAATCAATCAATGTATTGCCGGTTAATCCTTTGAAAGAAGGGCGTTGTTTTTACGCAGACACCGACCACGACAGAGTGTATTCAGTATAGATTAGTAAATCTACATACATAAACACTACCTTTTGACAATTCCGCTGTGTAAGACAAAAGTACTTAATCAATGAGCGTGTTATCGGTTAATCCTTTGATCGATGTTTATAATGTTGAATATTTACTCCAGACACAAGAAATGCAAAATGGGAACCTTTGTCGGGTAATCTAAGTGTGTTACCACTAATTATACCTGTTATAAATTCATTAACTGACCATCAAGTGAATGATGACAAATAACATGTGTAGGTTTATACCACCTAACACGGGTTACAACAAGGGAGTATTAATTGCTGTATTGCATGTGAAAACTTATGGGCCGACACTGTTTTGAGAATACAAACAGATTTTTTACATGACATGAATAAATATCGAGGTAAAAACACAGAAATGGGATCAATTTAGATCAGTCATTATACAAATAGGGCCTAACGACACCAATCGATTTTGACAGAATCGTCTATGAAAACAAGTTGTAACTTGGAAACTAGGCAAAGCAGGAGACAAAATTAAATGACAGTAGATTGTGAGAACATATAGCTTTCATTTTCCATAACAATTGTCCGCGATTTCAGGTTTATACAAGCCTGTAAACAAGATAATTTAACCCTTAAAATGTAGATGAATTCTGCATCGCCCTCAAAGCTATTCATTATATGACGTCACAGAGGCGCGCCGCTCTGATTGGTTGAAATTTCGTTCGCAGGTGAGAATTGTGCACTGTTGTCAAAAAGGTCGATTTAAGTCGATTTAAGGTCGAAATGAGTAGTTTTAATGACGGGTTTCATTTATAACGATGCCAGTTAGTGATTTATGTATTTGTACCCCCTAGGGTTTATGTGACCTTTAAAGTTATCTGATATGACACTTCCTGATGACATTGTTTAAAATTATGTGATATGACACTTCCTGATGACATTGTTTCCAGTTAACTGATATGACACTTCTTGATGACATTGTTTCCAATTATCTGATATGACACTTCCTGATGACATTGTTTCCAATTATCTGATATGACACTTCCTGATGACATTGTTTCCAGTTATCTGATATGACATTGTTTCCAGTTATCTGATATGACACTTCCTGATGACATTGTTTAAAATTATGTGACATGACACTTCCTGATGACACTGTTTAAAGTTATCTGATATGACACTTCCTGATGACATTGTTTAAAATTATGTGATATGACACTTCCTGATGACATTGTTTCCAGTTAACTGATATGACACTTCTTGATGACATTGTTTCCAATTATCTGATATGACACTTCCTGATGACATTGTTTAAAGTTATCTGATATGACACTTCCTGATGACATTGTTTCCAATTATCTGATATGACACTTCCTGATGACACTGTTTAAAGTTATGTGACATGACACTTCCTGATGACATTGTTTCAGCTATCTGATATGACACTTCCTGATGACACTGTTTAAAATTATGTGACATGACACTTCCTTATGACATTGTTTCCAGTTATCTGATATGACACTTACTGATGACACTGTTTAAAGTTATGTGATATGACACTTCCTGATGACATTGTTTCCAGTTAACTGATATGACACTTACTGCTGACATTGTTTAAAGTTATCTGATATGACACTTCCTGATGACATTGTCTTGAGCTATGTGATATGACACTTCCTGATGGAATTATTTCCAGTTATCTGATATGACACTTACTGATGACATTGTTTAAAGTTAACTGATATGACACTTCTTGATGACATTGTTTCCAATTATCTGATATGGCACTTCCTGATGACATTGTTTAAAGTTATCTGATATGACATTGTTTCCAATTATCTGATATGACACTTCCTGATGACACTGTTTAAAGTTATGTGACATGACACTTCCTGATGACATTGTTTCAGCTATCTGATATGACACTTCCTGATGACACTGTTTAAAATTATGTGACATGACACTTCCTTATGACATTGTTTCCAGTTATCTGATATGACACTTACTGATGACACTGTTTAAAGTTATGTGATATGACACTTCCTGATGACATTGTTTCCAGTTAACTGATATGACACTTCCTGATGACATTGTCTTGAGCTATGTGATATGACACTTCCTGATGGAATTATTTCCAGTTATCTGATATGACACTTACTGATGACATTGTTTAAAGTTATCTGATATGACACTTACTGATGACATTGTTTCCAGTTATGTGATATGACACTTACTGATGACATTGTTTCCAGTTATTTGATATGACATTTACTGATGACACTGTTTAAAGTAATGTGATATGACACTTCCTGATGACACCGTTTAAAGTTATCTGATATGACACTTACTGATGACATTGTTTCCAGTTATGTGATATGACACTTACTGATGACATTGTTTCCAGTTATTTGATATGACACTTACTGATGACACTGTTTAAAGTTATGTGATATGACACTTCCTGATGACATTGTTTAAAGTTAACTGATATGACATTGTTTCCAGCTATGTGATATGACACTTCCTGATGACATTGTTTCCAGCTATGTGATATGACACTTCCTGATGACATTGTTTCCAGTTATCTGATATGGCATTGTTTCCAGCTATGTGATATGACACTTACTGATGACACTGTTTAAAGTTATGTGATATGACACTTCCTGATGACATTGTTTCCAGTTAAGTGATATGACATTGTTTCCAGCTATGTGATATGACACTTCCTGATGACATTGTTTCCAGCTATGTGATATGACACTTCCTGATGACATTGTTTCCAGCTATGTGATATGACACTTCCTGATGACATTGTTTCCAGCTATGTGATATGACACTTCCTGATGACATTGTTTCCAGCTATGTGAAATGACACTTCCTGATGACATTGTTTCCAGCTATGTGATATGAAACTTACTGATGACTTTGTTTCCAGTTATCTGATATGACACTTACTGATGACATTGTTTCCAGTTATCTGATATGACACTTACTGATGACACTGTTTAAAGTTATGTGATATGACACTTCCTGATGACATTGTTTCCAGTTAACTGATATGACACTGTTTCCAGCTATGGGATATGACACTTCCTGATGAAATTGTTTCCAGTTATCTGATATGACTCACCTGTCAAGTGCATGTGTTCTGGTACCCTGTGACCACCCCACTCATCACTGCCATCACAACAGTCACATATCCCATCATTCACTCTGCTTCCTGGCACAAACTGCTCATCTTCGTGGGGAATTTGGTATGTGCAGTAGAATCTGTAAACATATATGTAAACCATTTGTGTTGCATTTAGCACTGCATTCTCATGTTTACAAAAATAATGGATGCAAGTACCATTTAAAAGAAAACACAAAAATATCCTACCCATATGTACTTTATAAAAAATTCAATAAGGACGTATTCAGAAACTAAACCTTGTTGAAACAATGTAGAGTCTTTCATACAAATCTGTTTGTTGCTTAACCTTACAATCAACAATGTTCCAGCCATATGACTGCAGTTTGTAAACAATCATGGCTGAACCAGACAATCCTGTGAGTAATATTAAATGCAGTGATCCACACTAATTTTGTGTGACCTATTTGTAATTCAGTTATGAATGTTTTTCCATTTATTCTTAGCTTTTTAAGTGGCTTTTTGAGTAGACTTTTTATTTTAGAATTTGAATTTGAATTATTTTGCCAATTTGGCAAGATTTTTTAGTTTTGAAAGGCTTTATGATTAATTGTTAGACAATGCTGTATATATAAATACATGACCAGATCTATGGATAACAACTTCTTTTTATTCTTTCTCACAACGTTTCAAGAGTTAATTCTTGCTCCCTCATCATCCATAAAACATATCATGTATTCATATTCTTCTAACTTCAGGGCGGTGGGGTAGCCTTGTGGATAAATCGTTTGCTTGTCACACCGAAGACCAGGGTCCAATTCCCCACATTCGGTACAATGTGTGAAGTCCATTCCTTGTGTCCCCCGCCATGATATTGCTGGAATATTGCTAAAAGTGGTGTAAAACCATACTCACTCACTCATTCTTCTAACTTCTAAATGCATTTCAAGAACTTAATGGTTTATATAAGTTAACTGCTGGTTGTTCAAGGGCAGCTTCAGCTGTTTGGTTGGTCATGTTCGTTGCCGAACACAGTGGCATGGGCACTGCTTGACAAACAGGTCATGAAGTGCTGTCAAAATGGCCATTAGTTATGCCGTGAATAATGAATGGTCGTCAGGAAATCTGCATAATTTAGCTTGCCTCGTGCTTTGAGTGCCTGGGTCAAATGACCAGTCTGTGTAAATGTGGCACCAGTTCATGAGTGAATTCGTTCGTTCGTTCGTTCGTTCGTTCGTTCGTTCGTTCGTTCGTGAGTGAGTGAGTGAGTGAGTGAGTGAGTGAGTAAATGTGGCACCAGTTCATGAGTGAATTCGTGAGTAGGTGAGTGAGTGAGTGAGTGAGTGAGTGAGTGGTGGGTGGGTGGGTGGTTGAGTGGTTGAGTGAGTGAGTGAGTGAGTGAGTGAGTGAGTGAGTGAGCAAGCGAGCGAGCTGTCAACAGTGTTTCACACAGCATTGTGTCAGTCTAATGCTCAATGAATGGGTGAGTGAGTGAGTGGGATTTATGCCCTGTCTACAGTATACAATAAACCTGAGAGACAGCCTGACACTGAGTGAAATGGATTTTATGCCCTATCCACAGAATTTCATATGGCGGAGAGGATTGTGTGTGAACAGCATAATAAATTGCTGTCAGCCTGTCATTGAGTAGGTGTTTGAGCTAGATTTAATGAAAAATCAGCATTACTTCGGTACAGAAAGTTCAAAGTGACATAGGTCACAGGGTTTATCCAACTGGCTTTATGTCACTTTTAGCACTATTCCATCACTATCAGAGCTGGGGATGCCCAAAATAAACTTCACACACTGTACCCCTGTTGGGAATCAAACCTAGGTCAGGCCCAGTAAGCAAAATTCTTTAACCACATTCAAGGATCTGTGTCCCGAGAACCGATGTTATTCAAACCCAAGACCCTGGCAGGACTAATTGATGCAACCCTTTACAAATGGGTTATAAAATCGCCTTGCAACTACATTCCAAATAAAGGTTTGAGTTTCATCCAAATGTGAAACAGGTTTTCTCTCTACTGTTCGATCTCCAACAACAAACTTAATATGTCATGATTGTTTTACCATTTTACCTGAGCTGTAACAGAGCGAGTTACAGCTCAGACAGGTACAGATCACAACATCTGTATTTATCACAGACATTTTAACACACTCACGAAATAAAGAAGTTGTTATCCATAAAAACGTATTCCATATTGATTGATTGTTGTTACTTTAATGCCTCACTCAGCAATATTCCAGCTTTGTGGCGATGACCAGATGATAGGGATAATGAATTGGATTATGGAAAACCAAGTTCTGTGGATAGACAACTTCTTTACTGCAATGAGTGTGACGTTAACAACTTCTTTATTTCGAGAGTGCGACGTTTCGATACAGATTCTTGTACCGTTGCTTGACAAACGTCGCACTCACGAAATAAAGAAGTTGTTATCCATAAAAACGTGTTCCATATTGTACGTCTCAACTTCTAAAAATGCCACTCAAACAAACAATCAATCAATCACATCACCTGGAGTCTGGACATGCTGAAGTTCCCGGCTCGTCGCTGGAGTCTTCACAGTCGCAGTAGTCATCATTCACATGCTCCCAAGGAATCTCACTCTGAAACCATTTACACCACAATTCTTTCATGGCTCTCACATTACATGCTTTTGTGAATTATCTTCTTTAGTCGGTGAAAATAGGTTTGCTATCTAGAGAATATGTTGCCAAACGTGCAGAGAAACTGAGTGGTTATAATTTTTTGCCATATGTAGCAATATTCCAACAATATCATGGTGGGGGACACCACAAATTAGCTCCACACATTTTACCCATGTGGGGAATCGAACCTCTTTAGCATGATGATTGGACGCTTTCACTCGCTACCCCACCAACCCTGTTGATAAAGATTGTCTCATTACTTTACTAACAGTTACTGACAGACATGCACATTATCCTATAACACGCACTGTATATGCTGTGAACACTTACGTTTGCACCAAACAGACTTGAAGCAAAAAGTGCTCTTTGAGACTGTTTCACCTTTCTTTTTAGGGGGTTAAAACAATCCACACTAAACATCAATAAATATTGTCTGTGTGTTTACCTTTGTTCTAATACAGGTGAACATGTATTGGTCATTTGGTTTGAATAGGTGAGCATCATCGACATGAACACCACGTGGAAGATCTTCCTGTCTAACATTGCCCATCACTTCCTTGTGGGTGTCAAGTTCATTTGGTTTTGAAAATAATTCAATGGTGTCTTTGTCAGGTGTTCCTGCCCTCCTGCCATTATTGTTCTTGTTGTCATATAGGAGGGTCTCCCCCTGCTGTTGATGGAATATGTTCAGCTTCAACAAGGAGAACCACTGCATCAGACAGAAGACCAGTACAACTACAGCCAGCACGGCCAGAGTTTGTTTCTTCCGATTAAATATGATACGTTGGTTACACAGTTTGAGAGCCATTTTCGGTACATCCTCAGGTTTATCCTCAGCTACATCATGTAAACTTCCATGTTCTCTTCTGAAATAGAAATAGGAAATGGGACCTTTAGTCCAAGCTCACAAATAAAATATGTTCAATAATATATACACAACTGTTTCTTTTAACATCTTTGCCACAAATATATTTCTTATTGCTTTTTGTTGATTTCATTTGGAAGCAAAAGAAAACAAAAATCTTTTTAAATTTACTAAAACAATATTTTAACTCTGATCTTACATTATCTATTGGGTTTTTTCACATGACATGTAGTTAGGCTGGGTAAAATAATTCAATCAGTCAAACCTTCATGGAGAATACTGAGCAGCCTAAAGTACCGTGTAGCATAGACCAACGCTTAGTCTCCAAAAGTATAAATATTTATTTCAGAAATAAATGACTCATTTTAAATTGAAAAGGAACCCCAGTGATAAGGGATGTGAAGAATCTAGATTGACCTTATTTAGGGCTTTTTGCAAAGCAGAAAGGGCTAGGTAGAAGGGTAAGTAATGTGGTTCAGGGATTGTGAGACAAACAATTTGTGGCAGTGCTATTCTTGGAGATGATTCTAAACAAAACAGGAAAATAGTACTCATTCATATACATTTTTTGGTGAAACACTGCATGGCAAATAAACACTGCCACTCTTTTCATAATGCCTATATTGTGAGTTCACATAAACAATTCACAACTGGATCCTGGTCAAAAACAATGCCATGGAATCAGCTGACAGTTGACTTTTTGAGATTTATAAGATGAAACACTGACGCTCTGGTGAAGGGTGTCATCATTCAATCCAGACCATAAACTGTATTTCCTCTAATAAGAGCACAGGCACTTATTTCTTCAACTGACTTCCAGACCTGGGACTTATTAGAGGCCCGGCGCTTTTTGCGCTTACTGGGTGTGATTACCGTAATTGTTAGTGAGCTGCTTTACTCCTGGCGCTTATTAGAGGCCCAGTATTATTAGAGAAAATATGGTAGACTTCATACGATCTCTCTGCAGGAAGATCTGTGGACACCTCCTTATCAGGTCACTGAATGTTCTCATTAGCTTTGAAGTTTTCAGTATGGGAAGGTGATGCATTCAGACCAGGATATCTGATGTTTGTGTCTCAAAAATGAATAAAACAATAACTATTAATTCCAAATAAATACAAAGCAAAAGTTTCTGTGGTTGTGGGGATGTTATATGTCCTGTCATTTCTGACCAACATGATATTCATGCCCAGAAAGGTGTAAAATCAAAGGAATATTTCATGTGGGTTTTCATTTGTACTATTAAATTTTCCTGATCCGAGGTGGTAAAGAAATTCAGCCAAATCATTTTAGTTGATATCTAAAAACCCGCACATTCTTCATCCAGACTGAGTGGTCACAGTTCACCTACTGTTATTCTGATTATGTGTCAGACTGTATTTTTAACATCAGTTCTGATATTTCAAGTCACGATGACACAGTTGGGTGATCTCTGTTTACAATCTATAATTTGTTCCACGTGTTTGAAATCAGAGAGACAGAGACAAGAGAGAGACAAGTTTATTCTGTGATGAGGCCTCAAGGCCAAAAGCACATGAAAGTACAGTTCAATACTGTACGTATGACAGTTCATGTTGGTTCTTTTCAAATATATGGAGAGATTTTTTATGTTCGGGATTGTTAGACGTTAACAATTGATCCAATTTTACCCTTGTAGGAAATGGGAAATAATATGGAGAGATAAGTTGCCCAGTCTTACAAGTAAATTCTTACAATGTGGACAAACTACTACAAAGTGGTACTCATCTTCTGCAACACTCATAGTACAATTAGAGAATAAAAGTTGGTCAGTATCAATATCATTATTGTACCTGATTTACAAATGCTTAATTTGTGTGACTAGAATCTAAATAACAAAATATTTGTAATACATACATGTATATGACTAAACAATTTCATGACATATCTTTCTGTGTCTAACAAAGATTTAAAGCTGAAATAAAAGGAGAGATCACTTCTTCTCGATAGCTACCATGCCAATCCTAGAATTGTATATCCTGACAGCGTGGCAAAAAGGTATGCATAAATATATCATAATTGCCAAAATCCTGGGATATGCAAACATAAGAAAAGACTATAAACAGTGTATGAAATAAGGCCCGTCCGACCGCCTGAGACGGGCTAGCTTTCTGACGAACGGTCTAAATTGACAGCTAGCCAGCCCGATGGTCTGGTAAATTTGTTCGTAAATTTGAGTAAATTCACCATATCTTGTTGTTTGGTCTCGTAAAGTCCATTTTGGACTGGTAACAATTTGAAGTTACCAGCCCTAATTGCTGGCTGAGTTTTTGGCTTATTTCATACACTGCTATAAACAATATTATAACATACCAACCCGGCTGTTACCCAATTTGCTTTACCATTACTATCATAGAACTTTAGAATTTCGTAACATGCTTTAGGATTATGACCTGTTTCCTACAATGTGACCTGTGTTTGAAATCACACCTTTTAATGGTTCAGAAATCTTTTGAGAAATCTGTCACTAAAAGTACTAGTCGACTCAGCAGGGTTGTGCAAGGAGAACCAGGTAAGGAAATTCAAATTGGATACACAACATGCACAAGGATTTAGAAAAGCAGGAGCATTTTTGGGAGGAACATATGTAAAATAGCTAACTGTATCCTGTTAAATTCAAAATTATGAGTGTTTTGTAATAAAAGTACTTATATCTATTTACCTTTTATGTTCCTTCATTTCTAGGGTTGGAAGTAAGCACTTTCAACATCACAAAAACACAACACGTGGTTTTGAAGCAGTGTCACGTTGTGACAGAGGGCGGTTTATGGTTGTGACTAGTCTACTGTATCGTAATTAATCTACCGCACACGTTATTGTAGTGAATACATAATACAGTAAACCCTTATGCCATATGTAATTTATACTGTAATTCCTAACTTAGTTTTTAATATGAAAGTTGACATGTCAACTATAGGCCCAAATTAAATTCATCACGCATCTAGATTTTCATTTCAAGAAATAAAAGAATAGGTTTGTACTTGTGTTTTATCCAAAGGTCTGCTTTTCCTGCCCAGGGACGACATTGTAGTCGCCATTTTGAATGCGGTACAAGTCACATGACTCTTCGAGGGTAAAAATTTATCACGTGATATCTTTTTGCTGTTTCATTTATGGGTCATACTTTCTAAAATTAATTCCAAAATCAACACGAGGGTGTATTTTAAATGATAGTTAGGTAACATTGTTTCATCTAACTCAGTTTTCAATAAGATACGGATTGCTTCTTCTTCCCTTCCGGTTAACGAATCTGTCGGCCATTACAGTAGAAAATGGTCGGGTTTCAATTTCGGAATGTAAGATTTCGTATGCTGAGGCCGAGATGGCTTTAAGATGTGTTCCATTATGACGACTATTTAATTTCAATACAGGGAATCAAATGATCAACATTCCAACTTTATTAAGGGGTAAGTAGATTTGTACGTACACAATACACCCCTGAAGAGAGTTGTCAAAACAAACTTCCGCAATACGCCCAAAATCTGTCAAATGCAAAATATGAGAAATCTCTTTTGTTTGTGGACCACAAAAGTTAATTTTTTCCATATGTTGTTGTTTAGGAAATGAAATGAAAACTACACGTGAAGAAAAATGGTTATCTTGAAATCTTAAATTTTGACATCTTGGAAATCTTGATCGAAAATACACAGTGATAAACGTAAAGGCAAAGATGACTTCTGCAGTTGTTGAGTTATACCTTAGTCATGATTTATATCAAAAAGCCATCCAGCCTGTCTCATTTGTTGGGTTTGTCGCAGTTTTCTGGCAAACTGATTCAAAGCTGCCAGGAGTATTAATTAGTCCTTAAAAGGCAGTGCTACCTTTTAACTGTCTAGTATGCATCATATGTACTTGGTTATTTCAATCACGACCAACCCCCAGTTATTGTGTGCATGTAAATGCAACCTGCTTCCTTTCCTCTTTTCATTTGAAGGGAAACAAATTCGGGTGAGAAATAATGCCTGGAATTTTACAAGTACTCAAACCACTATTTCAAAACCCAAAACTTAATTGAGCATTTTTTCAAAAGCATAACCTGAATATACAGCAAAATCTGAGGTGCTCATATAGAAGCATATGTATTCTAATTTAATGCAGGGCTCCAGATAAGGGTCGTATCGGCATATGTACGGATATAAAATAAGCACGATACAGTAGGAAATAATTTAGAAAACGTAGCAGATACGCACCACAGCAGTGGTGTACGGTCTCAGAAAAGTCGTCTGCTACTGTCAAGCAGCAGGCGCGAATACATTCTTTTTTCGAAACAAAAAACCAAAACTGATAGAGAAAATGCCGAAACCGTTGCAAAGTCAAGTGATTACAGTTCTAATTCAGTAATTGAAACGGAACCATCAAATGCCAATGACACGCTGACCTATGCTGAAACTGAGAGCAAGACATCGACCCGTTCGTTCCAAACGAAATGGCAAGGTTTGTATCTGTGGGTTCTGTATAAAGAGTGTAAAAACAAAATGACCTGTGCACTTTGTCTGAAAAATGGAAAACAATGTTTTCACTGATGGAACTGATCATTTCTGTACTTCCACGCTCAAGAGACACACTGATAGTGCCGACCATAAACTTACCTTCTGCTCCGTATTACCAAAGTGACTGTAACTGTGTTCTATTTTTACTAACTCAAAATTAAAACAGACAGAGTTCGAAGATTATAACTTTTATGGCCAAATCAACAGTGTTTAAATTAACAGTTTAATTGGTACAACTGAACAGCTGAACTGAATGACAATTTCATTAAAATTGCAGACTGAATGCATTGTCTCCCTTGTTTTTTTCTGATGACCCACCTACAATGGCAAATGTCCCACTAGTTAAAGTAACCATGGGCCCAGGTCCCACTTCATCTGAAAAGTAAATTAGACACTGTTGGATCAGAAAATTCAACAGCCAATTTTTAATGAACGTTAAAAGACAAATATAGGATAAAAATGAGGAACCAAATCGAAAGTAGCAGAACTTTACTTGCGACTAGTCACTTATTTAATACAAATTCAAAGAAATATAGGTTATCACAAGAGTGTGATAGCCTATTTATCATACACAATGTCACTCTTACTTTATAATTTTAATAAAATGTGATTTCAGTTGCCACAAATCATGAAACTAAACTTCGTGGAATGTGCACAGATATCTATGACCTCACAAATATAATCCTTGGTTGGTACCTTTCTTTGACGATCGCCTTTCACTCGTGCCTCATAACCCATACCTTCAATTTGAACGAAGTTCTCCGTTTCATGTTTTCCAAAGTCAATTACTGCAGTAACGACTCAAGAACCTCTGTCATCAATTTGTATAGAATCACAAATTTTGAGAATGGGGGCAGCCATGTTTGTTTACAAACTCGTCCACGCAATGTAAACTCGCAATGACGTCATTAATGAAATGTTAACGTTTTAGGATTTGCATGGCGTGTATGGAGTTTTGTGAAAGTAGTTCATGGATTGATGTAATTTGCATAGTTGTCAGATTTGGATATCAAGTTTATCAGATTGCTTTATTGCTCTAATAACACGCTCCATCAGATCAGAGGTACAGATAAGCTGCGTATCTGCATAAAATACGCAAATATTTATGTGAAAACTCAATTCTTATCAAGTCTATTACGTACAAGTACGCTTGAATTTTTGTAAATGCTCAATAAAATTTATCTTACATGCGTACACACAAGTATGTCGAATCTTAGCTGCATAGATAAAATAACAGGTATATTCAGAGGTTCTATTTCAACACGTGAACTTGGCAACTTTCAGTCTTTCTTATCGTTTCTAATATTACAGATACAATATAAATAACATTTAAACTTTATTATATTTTTACAATTAATGGAAAATGGCAAAATACCCAATTGAGTTTGAGTGAGGTGGGTACAACTAATTGGTTACTCAAAGGAAAATTAGTATACCCAATTGAGATGAACACAAGCAAGTTCATAACTCAATGACCCAAAATTTTATCTATAGCCCTGTCAGATGATAAATATATATATCAAGGGAGCTTTAACAAAGTATTTTCATAATATTGCCATGTTAGTCTCGATCTTTCAGTGTTCTGTCATAATTATGAACAATTAGGAACAGTGGCCCCTTCAACATAAATTCATGGGGGATATTTTAAAATCTTTTGGGTCCACGCTTATAAAACTTAAAATCTGATATGTAAGTGCAAAGTCACCATCAACTAGTATCATTAGCGATACACTGAATATTTCGTAAGGCAACTTTCACAGATGTAACATATTGCAGTGACAACATCACAGCTTGTTTGTGATCACTGTCGTTATCATGTCTCTTCAAGGTACACTTTCCAAAATTACGATTTAATATATTTAACATGAATTATACAAAGCTGATGTGTAGTATTTCTCTCTGAATTATGCTACAACCATGTTTTGTTATCAAGCCAGGATCCTTTAAAATTTCTGCCTCTCTCACTGCCCAAGGCATCATGCCCAAACATGCTGTGTGTGGCTTAGTTATTCGTATACCGGTATACTGCAATATGGAATAGTAATAAATATTTATGACAACATGTTGGAAAAATACTGGTATTTTGCCTTTTTCAACATATGCATGTCTTCATCTTGTTGGAAAATTTTACATAAGTGACAAAAATTGACAAATCCATTTGCATTTATCAAATTATGAAAACTGTAAATTTGCCTAGCCTAGTGGTTAAGGGGTTTGCTCGTCATGCCGATAACCTGGGTTCGATTCCCACATGAGCACAATGTGTGAAGCCCATTTCTGGTGACCCCAGTCGTGATATTGCTGAAATTATGCTAAGTAAAACTCACTCACTCACTTACTTTATACCAGGGAAATTTGAAGAAGAAACATCTTTTGCATTATCAGAACTATTATTACCATATTTGCAAAAATGTGTAAGCTGTTTTCTGATTGGACCATTTGTTACTTGTATCATGAAAATCAAGACGTTTTCATTCAGTAATTGAAGCGGCTGTATTGAGTTATTTATAGACCATCATTGACTCCCATTATGATATATAGTATGACCAGAAATTATTGAGAATTTTAGGAATATGTTTAATTGGATTTCTAGTATAAACAACCTTGACCAGGCAGCTATCAAGTGCTTGGTTTCATTCAAGAGAGACAACTCCGTTAATCCTTTTTCATTAGTTTGTGAAGAGTTATCCCCCTTTGTTTACTAGCAGACGACATTTTCAGTGATCCTCAGTATGGATGATTTAGAGAAGAGGAAGTTGATTTTAGAGTATTATAACAAGGACATCAGATCAGCTAAAGTGATTTCAAGTAGAACAGGCATCCCTTTGTCCACTGTTTATCATGTTTTGAAAAATATTGCAAATGGGAATGGCATTGAGCGCCAGGGAGGTGCAGGTAGGCCCAGAAAATTGATTGTCGGTGACAGGAGGCGGCTTGGTATTCTTGTTTCTAAAAACAAACGAAGGACTTTAGAAAACGTAAGGCTGGATATGATTGATAGAGGAACTGTGGCTGTCTGTAAGGAGACAATTAGAACTGAGCTGCATGCAATGGGTTTGCAGAAAAGTCAAGGAATTCCATCGCCGATCATGAAACCTGAACAAAAGGAGCGAAGGTTGAACTGGTGCTTACAGCATAGAAATTTTAACTGGGACACTGTGATTTTCTCAGATGAAAGTTGTGTGTGGCTGTTTCCTAATACACTGAAATTCTGGACCAAACAAACTAAAAAACTTTTGTATCAGCACCCAAAGTACAGTCTGAAATTTAACGTGTGGGGTGGCATATCTGTGTTAGGGGCAACGCCCCTCTGTGTATTTGAAGGGAATATGAACAGTGAGCGGTACACAGATATTCTCGAGGGACATTTACTTCCATCTGCTCACGTGTTCAATGAAATTTTTTTGATTTTCCAGCAGGACAATGACCCAAAACATTGTTCAAAGCATTCACAGGCCTGGTTTCAGATCCAAAATATGACATTATTAGATTGGCCAAGCTATAGCCCTGACCTAATCAAATAGAAAATGTTTGGGGACTTATGAAGGAAAGTGTCAATAAGAAAAATCTGACAAATATTGCTGAAATGAAAGAAGAGGTGGTCCGATATTGGGACAGCATGGACCACGACTTTCTAACTTATTTGATCAGTAGTATGCCCCGCCGCACTGAAGCCTGCATTGCTGCCCATGGTGACTTGACAAAATACTAACAGTTCACCTGTCTTTGAATCTGGAGTTATGTTCTGCTAATATTCACATTTAATAAGTGAGTAATGAGTGAATTTTTTTTAAAAAACAAAAAAAAAAATCTTTAAATTCTCAATAATTTCTGGTTGTACTGTAAAATAAACTATTCTATGTAAATGCACCAGATTTCCCACTGAGCATAAATATTAGGCACCAATCAGTGAATTG